CCCCCAGAGCTGTAGAGGACATGGGCTTCCTCCAAAGCTCATCAAGTCCCTTCTTACTGAGGACTAGTGTCTTTGAGGCACCTCAGGAGTGTCCAGAAACCTCACTGTTCTGCCTTCCCCCCCCAGCCGTTGTCCAAGCCCATTAAGTCCCTTCTTACTGAGGACTAGCATCTTTGAGACACTTCAGGAGTGTCCAGAAACCTCACTGTTCTGCCCTCCCCCCCCAAGAGCCGTTGTCCAAGCCCATCAAGTCCCTTGTTACTGAGGACTAGCCTCTTTGAAACACTTCAAAGAAACCTGTCCAGAAACCTCACTGTTCTGCCCTGCCCCGCCCCCCACGAGCCGTAGAGGACATGAGCTTTCTCCAAAGCTCATCAAGTCCCTTCTTACTGAGGACTAGAGTCTTTGAGGCACCTCGGGAGCGTCCAGAAACCTCCCTGTTCTGCCCTTCCCCCTCGCAGCCGTATCCCAAATTTTGCCCTCCCCCCAATCCCAGCATTCAAGGCTGGAAAAGGCTTGGGGCTCCCCTAAGTAAACAACCCCATCCCGGAGGGGCCTCAGGAGCAACTGCCCCCCCTCTAACCTTTCACCTCCGCTCGTCCACAGCCCACCAATCGAAAAACAGCTTGTTAGAATGTTTCCCCCGACCGCCGCCGGGTCTCCGCCAATGGGCGGCGCGCTCGGGCCACGCTCCTCCAATCAGCAGGCGCCATACTGGGGGGACACTCTGGCTGCCCAAGTGCCCTTGCTTGCCCACCAATCAGGAGGGTTCTTGGCATTTTTTTATTTCTACCCCCCCTTTTTTGGTGCTGTTTCCCCCCCCTCACTACCCCCTCCTCGGAGTGGTGTCAGTCGGCCAATGAAATGCCTCCCGCTGTTCCTTCGGCTGCCCTTCCCTCCCCCCGCGGTGAGCGCGAGACCCTCCTCACCCTCTAACGGTCGGAGCGCGAGGCCTTGTTTACATCTTACAGGGGCCGCCGCTTGAACCCGAGTGGACCAGGGGCCGAGGGGCGGGGCGAGCCGACTGCGAAGACGATTGGCCACCGCTCGTGTGTGGACCAGCATGCACTCCGAAATTTTTCTCCGGACGGGACGAAACTAACCAACAACGATGCCGGGAAGGAGTAGGGCGGGTGACACATTTGATCCACTATTCCATTTTGCGCAGTGGCTGACGTTTTGTGCCCGCCTTCCGCCCGCTACCCGCCTCCTCGACGAGAGGCTAACCGAAGGAACTCAAACTGGCTGTCGATCCGTGGAAACGCTCTGCTGGGAGTGATGAAGTCGTAGGTAGGAGGCGGGCTCTAGAGGAACTTTCTCGCTCTCTGATTGGATAAGAGTGAGGCAGGTGATGTGGTGGTTCTTGATCAAACGCTTATCAGGGAAATATATTATCATTATTTGCTGCTGACGTGTTTAAATGTCTTTTAAATTGCAATACAAATTTCTCAACCATGGCAACTTTAAGAGGGCTGGACTTCCACTCCCAGAAATCAAGAGGAGTGGACTCCAACTCCCAGAATTCCTCAGCCAGACATGCTGGCTGAGGAATTCTGGGAGTTGAAGTCCACTCATGCTGGATGGAGAATTCTAGGAATTGAAGTCCATGTATGCTGGCTAGAGAATTCTGGGATTTGAAGTCCACAACTCTTAATGTTGCCAAGGTTGAAGAAACACTGCAGCAGCAGCCTCACAAAATTGTGAAACTTTGCAAATTGCGCATTTGTGACATACACACTTAACTCCTTTTACGCCACGCTGGCACCTGAGCTTGTAGCCAGCAAATGCACGGACATTTTTACTGTAATTTTCCCCTATTGGGATTCTTCCAAATATATTGGACGCCTTTGGCTGTGGATTAAGGGGGTTGTAATCCAATAGAACTGAAGGACATCCTGAGAACATAAAGAGCTTCTGGGAAGAGATGCTTAAGCAACCTGCAAAGCAGTTGCCCACACTAACTGGCTGGGTTCCCACAACACGCTTAACCTGCTTGTAGAACTTGGCCCTTTTATGACTTGTGGACTTCAACTCCCAGAATTCCTCAGCCAGCATGCTTGGCTGAGGAATTCTGGGAGTTGAAGTCCACAAGTCATCAAAGGGCCAAGTTTGAAGACCCCTGCCCTGAAGTCTCCAAAGAAGCCAGCAGTCAAACTAAGATTAGTTTAAAGGCTGTGAATCTATATCTATTGACACACAAACCCAGACAGCGTTCTTTCTCATCTCTGCAACACAGACAACACAAACACACACACACATCGACATGTACACAGCCAGACACCATTCTTTCCCCACTCTGCAAATCATACATATACACCACACAATGTTTACCATCAACTAATTTCTCAGCGACAACCAGCTAGCCAGGAATTCTGGGAGCTGAAGTCCACACATCTGTTGGCACAATTGTTTATTTCTGCTACTCGCAAGGGTCTTCAAACGTGGCCCTTTTATGACTTGTGGACTTCAACTCCCAGAATTCCTCAGTCAGCCATTTTGATGAAACCGCGGGCTTAGATCCAGACCAGGGGTCTTCAAACTTGGCCCTTTGATGACTTGTGGACTTCAACTCCCAGAATTCCTCAGCCAGCGTGCTTGGCTGAGGAATTCTGGGAGTTGAAGTCCACAAGTCATAAAAGGGCCAAGTTTGAAGACCCCTGCTTGTGGACTTCAACTCCCAGAATTCCTAAGCCAGGCACGCTGGCTGAGGAATTCTGGGAGTTGAAGTCCACAAGTCATCAAAGGGCCAAGTTTGTACACCCCTGTGCTACTGTTTGTATCGCTCCTTTGCACACACTTCCAAGTACACACAAATCGTGCCACTGACTTGGAATAACAATGAAAAAAAACAACTACAAATTATTATTCTTATTTGGGTTTATTATTAATAAAATATGTTTTTTTATGTTTCAGAATCCTCCCTGCCATGGACAGCAATTACATTTCAATCAATCATTTAGCTTTTCTGGGTTTTATTTGCAGATGTTGCCTTGTTTCTGGTCAAAATGCCATCATACAAACTCTACCCAAAAACGTTGACCAGTTTTATTTTTCTCGGCCTTTTCTCTTCCACAGCGTGTCTTTCTCACCGCAACAGTAAAATCCAGCACATTATTGGAAATTTTAAAAAGGCAAGACATATAAACCTGTTATCTGTGGTCTTGATGTACTAGGAATGTACACAAATAAGAAAAAATTGACTTTCATATTGAGCACCAATTAAAGATTCCACGTAATAGCCAACTACTAACATTCTCGACTGATTAAGTGTAACAGGCCCATCGTTTTAGTGTATAAAGAGTAGGCACACTTTATAATTTATTCCCCTCACTGGATTTAAGATTCATTAGGCTAAAAAGTGAATTCTCCATTAGCTATTGCTTGCTTTGTTGTGATGTCATGAAAACATGACATCATGTTTAAACTTAAAACTCAAACTTTAAGATGTTTGGACTTCAACTCCCAGAATTCCCCAGGCAGCCATGCTGCCTGGGGAATTCTGGGAGCTGAAGTCCACAGATCTTAAAGAGACCATGTTTGAGAAACTCTGATCTAAACATTATTTCAATAGCAATGCAATATTAAAAGACACAGATCCCTCGCCCTGATCTGAATCCCATCCAATGGGATTATGTTATTTCCCATCTGATTAGTCCTCACAACAACCCTGCAGGGTAGCTTTTGTCTGAGGCCACATGTCCTGAAAGAACTGAAGCCATATTCGTGTTAAGAGGAATGGTGAATTTAAACCAGGGGTCTTCAAACTTGGCGCTTTCATGTCTTGTGGACTTCAACTCCCAGAATTCCTCAGCCAGCGTACACTGGCTGAGGAATTCTGGGAGTTGAAGTCCACCAGTCATAAAAGGGCCAAGTTTGAAGACCCCTGCTGTATAGGGTCTCCTGCTTGAGCAGGGGGTTGGACTAGAAGACCTCCAAGATCCCTCCCAGCTCTGGATGGGTGGGTGGATAAGTTACAGATTGTCCTTTGCTTAGGACCCACAATGGAGATCAGAATTTCCATCGCTCAGCTCTTCAGTGCCTCATCACAGGACTGCCCCCAATTTCATCACCTTGTTTGCCAAGGCCGTTAAACGAATCTCATGTGCGTTAAGCCAATCGAACGGTCGTTAAGCGAAGCCAGCTTCCCCCATCGACTTTGCTCGTGGGGAAGGCAACTAACGGCAATCACGTGATCCTGGGATGCCACCGACCCCTTGTCAACACATTCCGGTTGCACCCAAAATGATGATCCTGGGATCGGGGGGGGGGACACACGCTGTAATGGCCGTAAGCACGAGGACTTGTCGCGAGTCACTTCTTTTCAGCACTACAAGTGTGAGGTGACTTCATCGCTTTGATTCAACATCGTGCCAGCTTCGTTTTTCTGGCTTTCCTCCAGCGTGCAGAAAACCACGATTTAAATCCCGAGCTAACCTGCAACCATCGTTCACACACCAGACGGGCAAGGTAAGGAATGGATCAGGTTAAAACCTCCTCCTCGGTTTCATATCACAGACAACCTCTGGGCTTCAGCAAGGAATCTTGTCTTGAAGACAGATCAACTTCAATCTCGGGCAGTGTGAATCGGGAATCCAGGTTGAAAGAGACAGAGGGACAAAGGATGAAGGCCTGGACCATATTCTAACTAACATGGATGTTAACGACAAATGTAGGACCTGCAAATGAGGTGAACGGATGTCCTAATCACGGTAGGATTGAGAGGTCCTCATAGATCACTCCTGGTTCCTGCCTCCAGAAATATAAGCATTGGAGATAAATATTGGAAGAACCCTCCGTGTCTTTTTACCCCCTTCACCGTTCCTTCTTCCCTCTCTTCCAATGATTTTTCCAGGGTTTTTTTAATTATTATTATTATTTTTATTATTAAAAAGACAGCTGGTCAAAGCACCCAACCCTCTCAGAAGCTCCTACAGAGAAGATGCAGGGAGAAGAAGCAACATCTGAGGAGGCATCACCATCCTTACGATAGCTTTCAAGATGCAAGGCCACCCACTTCCCGTCTCCCCAGAGCTGAAAGGGAGGAAGGAAGCGAAAGAGAGGTATCAAGCAAGATGACGCTGGTCAAAGACGGTAGACAAGGCCGAAGGACGCTAGGTGGCCATCAGCTGACCTAGGAAACATGATACGGGACACCTGAGGCTGGAGAGACTTAGCTGATAAGAAAAGAGGAATGGATTGTCTGTAAACAAGGCCCCTGATATCTCCGTTCACCCCACCCCACCCCAAAAAACAGGGGAAGAATCTTTGGACGTCTTTGACAGTTGAGGTTCCTCACATCTTCTTCACCCGGGTCTCCAAGGCTTCCAGTTCTTTCAAGACTTCCTTGGGCAAGTCCTGGGGTACTTGTTCCGTCAGATATTGTCTCACTTCTCGGACCTCCTGTTCCCAGAATTCCTTGGGCAGGGAAAAGAGCGCCGAATGGCTCACCTGGCTGAGGCCCGACAGGTCTAAGGCACCTTCTTTGGGGACGTACCCGATGGGCGTCTCCTTCGCGCTCTCTTCTCCGTCCGCCCGGCGGAAGATCCACTCCAGGACCCGCGAATTCTCCCCGAAACCTGGCCACAGGAAGTTCCCGGCGACATCTTTCCGGAACCAATTGACGTGGAAGATTTTGGGAAGGCGGGCGCCTTTCCGCCCTTCCATGCTCAACCAGTGCTCCAGGTAGCGGCCGAAGTTGTAGCCGAAGAACGGGCGCATGGCGAAGGGGTCGTGCATGATGACCTTGCCTGCAGAACCAGGTTGGAGAAGAGAGAAGAGAACGGGAATGGTGGAGGTGAAAGATTCAGGCCCCAAACACAGCAAAATAGGACTGCTAAGCAAAGGGGTCGTTAAGGGAAGCGCAACCCATTCTATGACATTTGGGGGGGGGCAGGCTTGTTGAGGACTAGCACTGACGTTCTTAGTATGGGTAACAAAACGTCTGCAAGAAAACAGCCAAGCTCAGAGAGCACCAAGGATCCCACAGTTCTCCTCCTCCTCCTCCTCCTCCTCCTCCTCCTCCTCCTCCTCCTCTCTGCAAACCCCACTCCCGTCTAGCACTGATGAGGATACCTAGTTGGGTCATGAAATGTCTGCAAGAAAAACCACCAAGCTCAGAGCACCAAGGACCCCATAGTCTCCGTCTCCTCCTCCTCCTCCTCTTCTTCCTCCTCCTCCTCCCCCATCCCCCCTCTCTTCTCACACTGATGATGTTCCCTAGTTGGGTCATGAAATGTCTCTGCAAGGAAAGCCACCAAGCTCAGAGAGCACCAAGGACCCCACAGTCCTCCTCCTCTTCCTCCTCCTCCTCCTCCCTCCCTCCCTCCTCCTCCTTTCCACAACCCCCCTCCCTTCTAGTACTGATAACAGTCCTTAGTTGGGTCCTAAAACATCTACAAGAAAACAACCAAGCTCAGAGAGCACCAAGGACCCCATAGTCTCTGTCTTCTCCTACTCCTCCCCCATCCCCCGTCCCTTCTCACACTGATGATATTCCCTAGTTGGGTCATGAAATGTCTCTGCAAGGAAAGCCGCCAAGCTCAGAGAGCACCAAGGACCCCACAATCCTCCTCCTCCTCCTCTCTCCATAACCCCCCCCTTCCTTCTAGTACTGATGATATTCCCTAGTTGGGTCATGAAACGTCTTCAAGAAAAGCCAGCCAGCTCAGAGAGCACCAAGGACCCCACTGTCGTCGTCCTCCTCCTCCTCCTCTTCCTCCTCCTCCTCCTCCCATTCCACAACCCCCCCTCCCTTCTAGCACTGATGATGTTACCCAGTTTGGCTAATGAAACGTCTGCAAGAAAACCACCCCCCTCAGAGATCACCAAGGACCTCTCATCCCTTCGGTTGTTGAGCGAGTCGGCTTTCCCCCCACTGACTTTCCTTGTCGGAAGCCAGCTGGGAGATTTGCCAAGGGGGGATCATGTGACCTCGTCTAGGCCAGGGATGGGCAACCTTGGCTCTTTTATGACTGGTGGACTTCAACTCCCAGAATTCCTGAGCCAGCATGGGTCAGCTTGGAAAGCTCTCCCTTTCCCCTCAGCATGGCTGGCTCAGGAATTCTGGGAGTTGAAGTCCACGAGTCATAAAAGAGCCGAGGTTGCCTAACTCTGGCCTAGGCCTAGGCCGCTTTATGACTCGTGGACTTCAACTCCCAGAATTCCTGAGCAGCATGGCTCAGCTTGGAAACCTCTCCCTTTCCCCTCAGCATGGCTAACTCAGGAATTCTGGGAGTTGAAGTCCACGAGTCATAACAGAGCCAAGGTTGCCTACCCCTGGCCTAGACATGCCGGTTGCCAAGCTCCCGAAGTCTGGTCACCTGATGTGGACATCCTGCAACGGTCATTAAGTGTGAGGATCGGTTTGTAAGTCCCTTTTTTCAGCGCCATTGTAGCTTTGAACGGTCACTAAACAAACGGCGGTAAGTCGAGGACTCCCTGTAGGTACATTTTTGGCCCCTTTCCATGTAAAAACACACAAAACGTGTGTGTGTGTGTGTGTGCGCGCACACACAGACACACACACACACACACACAAGCCTCAATTCGAAGGCAAGGGACTGGCTGGAATGCTCAAGCTTATCAGCTTATCTTCCTTCTGGTCAATATGGGTCAATTCCTTTTTTCTTCTTCTTTTCATTGTTATTAGGATTAACTTTTCTCTTCCGACTTCGCAAACGACAGGAAGCCGTGCCCTGTTTCGAACCCAAAGCCCCCACCTTTGTGCTCAGCCGCCGCTGTGGACTCCGACCGCATGGCGCTGCCCACGAAGACCCCGTGGCGCCAGTTGAAGGCCTCGTACACCAAAGGCACCCCTGTGGAGGGAGGGAAAAGACACCAAGAGGTGATCTTAAGAACATCCCAAAGTGCAGAGGTCTGGGAAGACCATTGGGGGAGGGAGGAAGGGGGGGCAGGGCTCCTAACCTGCTGGTCTCCTGCCCCCAAAGATGATGGCGTCAATGGGGACCCCTTGCGGGGATTCCCAATCCGGGTCCATGATGGGGCACTGCCGAGCCGGGGCACAAAAGCGGGAATTTGGATGAGCAGCGGGCCATGGATCCCCTGGAGAGGAAAAAAGAGGGAAAGATGGAAGAAATGAGACGATCAGATCCCGACAATGATCCACACCAGAGATCTAGGACGGGGTAGGCCACCTTGGCTCTTTTATGACTCGTGGACTTCAACTCCCAGAATTCCTGAGCCAGCATGGCTCAGCTTGGAAACCTCTCCCTTTCCCCTCAGCATGGCTGGCTATTCTATTCTATTCTATTCTATTCTATTCTATTCTATCCTATCCCATCCCATCCCATCCCATCCCATCCCATCCCATCCCATCCCATAATTCTATTCCATTCCATTCCACTCCACTCCACTATACTCTACTATATTCTATATTCTATTCCTGCTTTAAGATGCGTGGACTTCAACTCCCAGAATTCCCCAGCCAGCATGCTTTAAGATGCGTGGACTTCAACTCCCAGGATTCCTCAGCCAGCATGCTTTAAGATGCGTGGACTTCAATTCCCAGAATCCCTTAGCCTTGATTTGAACACTGTTTCTCATTAGCTGGTCCTCTCTCCTCCAAGCTCGGCCTCCTGGCCCACCCTATGCCCTGCACAGCCATGTATCAGTGTGTGTGTGTGTGTGTGTGTCCGTGATTTTGTACCCAACAGCTGAGCTCACCTGGCTTCCAAGGCTTTCCTTGCCAGGTGCTGATGGTGACCCCTTCCGGAATCCTCTGGTCGATCCCCTCCCAGTAGACGCCCCCTTCGCTGGTCTCGGCCACGTTGGTGAAGATGGTGTTGCGCTGGATGGTGTGCATGGCGTTGGGGTTGGTCCGAGTGGACGTGCCCGGGGCCACCCCGAAGAAGCCGTTCTCGGGGTTGATGGCCCGCAGGCGGCCTAGAGAAAGGGAAGAAACACCAGGCGGTTGGTTATTCTTAATAATAATAAAGTCGGAAGGGACCTTGGAGGTCATCTAGTCCAACCCCCTGCTCAGGCAGGAAACCCTATATCATTCCGGACAAAGGACTGTCCAGTCTCTTCTTAAAAACTTCCAGTGTTGGGAGCATTCACCACTTCTGGAGGCAAGGAGTTCCACTGGTTAATTGTTCTAACTGTCAGGAAGTTTCTCCTTAGTTCTAGGTTGCTTCTCTCCATCATCATCATCATCATCATCCTCATCATCGTCGTCGTCGTCGTCGTTGTGGTGGTGGTGGTGGTGGTGGTGGGGTTTTTATATTATTATTATTATTATTATTATTATTATTATTATTATTATTATTATTATTATTATTATTATTATTATTATTATTATTATTATTATAGTTGGAAGGGACCTTGGAGGTCATTTAATCCAACCCCCTGCTCAGGCAGGAAACCCTATCCCATTTCAGACAAATGGCTGTCCAGTCTCTTCTTAAAAACTTCCAGTGTTGGAGCATTCACCGCTTCTGGAGGCAAGGAGTTCCACTGGTTAATTGTTCTAACTGTCAGGAAGTTTCTTCTTAGTTCTAGGATGCTTCTCTCCATTATTATTATTATTATTATTATTATTATTATTATTATTATTATTATTATTATTATTATTATTATTATTGTTGTTGTTGTTGTTGTTGTTGCTGCTGTTGTTGTTGCGGTTATTATTATCATTATCATTATCATTATCATCATCATCATCATCATCATCATCATTATTATTATTATTATTATTATTATTATTATTATTATTATTATTGTTGTTGTTGTTGGAAGGGACCTTGGAGGTCAACTATCCAACCCCCCTGCTCAGGCAGGAAACCCTATCCCATTTCAGACAAATGGCTGTCCAGTCTCTTCTTAAAAACTTCCAGTGTTGGAGCATTCACTGCTTCTGGAGGCAGGTGGTTCCACTGGTTAATTGTTCTGTCAGGAAGTTTCTCCTTAGTTCTAGGTTGCTTCTTTCTTTCGTTAGTTTCCACGCGTTGCTTCTTGTCCTGCCTTCAGGCGCTTTGGAAAATAGCTTGACTCCCTCTTCTTTGGGGCAGCCCCTGAGATATTGGAACACAGCTATCCTGTCCCCCCTCGTCCTTCTCTTCGTTAAACTAGACATCCCCAATTCCTGCAACCTTTCCTTATATGCTTTACCCTCCAGTCCCTTAATCATCTTTGTTGCTCTTCTCTGTACTCTTTCTAGAGTCTCAAAATCTGTTTTACATCGTGGTGACCAAAACTGGATGCCGTATTCCAAGTGTGGCCTCACTAAGGCCTTGTAAAGTGGTATTAACACTTCAGGTGATCTTGATTCTGTCCCTCTGTTGATGCAGCCTAGCACTGTGTTGGCTCTTTTGGCAGCTGCCGCACACGGCTGGGTCCTTGCCAGGAAGATCTCCAGATCTCCTTGCAAACTCAGACACAAATCCTTAGGCCCAAATTTGTGCCCTGAGGGCTCCCTGAGGGGTGGGTGGGTGGAAACTCAGTTTATGTTGTTGCCGGAATGGGCACTGAGGTTTGGGCAAAATTGGTCCTCTTTGCTGTATCACTGTTTCACTTAGTGATGGACATCCCATTGATGTCGTAAAGCAAGGACTACCTTTTCCACCTAAAACATCAGGCCCCCAACTTTTCGGGCACCAGGGACGGGTTCCGTGGAGGAAGTTTTTACCGTGGACCGGAGGGGACGTGGTTTCGTGCGCTGCCTGTATCCCGCGGACCGGTTTCTGGCGTGCCACGGACCGGTGCCGGTCCACGGCCCCGGGGGTTGGAGACCCCTGCCCTTAAAACACACCTCCCTACCGCCCTCTCAGCCCCAACACCCTGGGTCACCTTCACTGTCGAACTTCATCCAGGCGATATCGTCCCCTACGCACTCCACGCGCCAGCCCGGCAAGGTAGGATTCATCATGGCTAAGTTGGTCTTGCCGCACGCGCTGGGAAAGGCGGCCGCCACGTACTTTTTCTTGCCTTCCGGGTTGGTGAGTCCCAGGATCTGCAAGAAGGAGAGAGGGGAGCGTGCCACGATTGGCACAAGATGCCAAGCCCAGAGGCAAAAACTTTTCTTCGCAATAACCCAGGTTTGCACGGCATGGGCCGCCGGGTGTAGCTAACCCAAATCCAGGTAACCATCATAGTTAGAGGCTTCGGCATCTCTCCATTAGCACGGAGGTATCTCCCAGTTTCCCAGTCCAAAAGTGTTAACTCAAGTGTTTTGCAAACTTGGCAAGTTTAACACAGGTGGACTTCAACTCCCAGAATCCCCTAGCCAGCCATGCTTAAAGCATGCTGGCTGGGGAATTCTGGGACTTGAAGTCCAGCCATCTTAAAGCATGCTGGCTGGGGAATTTGTATCTTGAAGCATGCTGGCTGGGGAATTCTGGGAGTTGAAGTCCACCCATCTTAAAGGATGCTGGCTGGGGAATTCTGGGAGTTGAAGTCCACCCATCTTAAAGCAGGCTGGCTGGGGAATTCTGGGACTTGAAGTCCACCCAGCTTAAAGCATGCTGGCTGGGGAATTTGTATCTTGAAGCATGCTGGCTGGGGAATTCTGGGACTTGAAGTCCAGCCATCTTAAAGCATGCTGGCTGGGGAATTCTGGGACTTGAAGTCCATCCATCTTAAAGCAGACTGGCTGGGGAATTCGCATCTTGAAGCATGCTGGCTGGGGAATTCTGGGAGCTGAAGTCGCCCCAGCTTAAAGCAGGCCAGCTGGGGAATTCTGGGAGTTGAAGTCCACCCATCTTAAACTCGCCAAGTTTGAAAAAACACCCTGCTAGCTGCATGTTTCATGAAGTGGGTGAAGTTATGTAGCTTGACTACTTTAAGATTTGCAGACTTCGATTCCCAGAATTCTGCGAGTTGAAATCCTCACGTCTTTAAGTGGCCAAGCTTGAAAAAAACGCCGAGCTTAGGATTTTTAAATACAGTCTGGGGAAGAGGTTCACTTTGTTTCTTCACATCTATCCTGACAAGAAAGAAGTTAAGACGGTGAAATACGATTTATTTTCCTCAGAGAGTTTTTGTTCAGCTGACATTCCGCCATTTTAAAAACGGAGCTGTTCCTTTCTCTCCAATTCCAGCCTTTTCGTCTTAAATTAATCTTTTACTCTACGCGGGACTAAAAGGTTAACCTTCACGGTCGTTGCTTTCCGTTAAAGAAAATACTCATGTTTCTTACTTGGAAACGGGGGATCGGTGGGAAAACGCTTTCCCACGGTACGTTATTTTTTTTTATTTTTTTTAAAAAAATTAAATTCCAACTCCGTGCTTGCACGTGTACGACACACACTTAAGGTAAAAACCCTTCAAGGCTTCACAGCTGAGCTTGCTCCACAAAACTACGCTGACCTGGATTATTGTTATTTTTTTTCTCTCCCTGTGATGTAACTCAGCCTGTTCAATTTGCTGAAAATTCAACATCCTGGGCCAAAAATCAGAAGACCGATGAATTAATTCGTGAATTCACGAATGCTCTGAATCCTGGCAAATCCACAGCGAGTGATCCCCCAAAATCTCTCCTCTCCATCCCACAGCCTTTGCACTGCCCCACCCCTTGCTGGTCTTTCCTGAAGCTGGGGGTCCCGCTGCAACCCGGACTACGGCTCCCATCATCCCTTATCATCGTGCCGTCTGAGCACGATGGGCGTTGCAATCCTGCTCACGGAAATGGCTGCCCGGTCAGCTGGGAAGCTGTTTTTCCAAAACCAGCAATTCCTGCCCATCACCCCCCCCCCCCCGTCCTCCCACTCTGAGGACAATGCCCCCCCTCACCTCCAATTCCAGCTGTCTCTTTCCTACGTCAAATGCCTTGGCTTGGCGTTTCAGCTGGCGCCTGTCACTCATTAACCAATCAATGTTTGCTCGTTAAATATCACTCCCAGGCAGTGCAAACAGGCCTCTGTCCTTTGGCCTGGTGGACCCAGTTTTCTGTTCACCCCCCCCCTCACCTCATCGCCGGCTTCATCCCAGCAATCAAGCCCTGTGACACCCCCCCCCCCGGTGCTCCTAATGCACCACGCAACCGTTTGCACCCGTCCCCCAAATTCCACGGTCCTACTTTGCAATGCCCCAGTGAGACACCCCTGGCACAAAAAACCTGCCCCAAGGCACAAGGGCTGCATGCTGGACTTGCTCCGTGGTTAGGTGGCTTCGATGGCAGATCGGAACAAATAAACCAGTATATCCCAAAGATGCTTTCCCCCCCCCCTTTCAAGAGGCAACTGGAATTTCTTGGGTTTTGCCTTGAAGAGGTTTCGCTTCTCGATCCAGGAAGCTTTCTTCAGTTCTGACTGAGTGGTACAATAATAATAATAATAATAATAATAATAATAATAATAATAATAATAATAATAATAATAATAATAATAATAATAATAATAAGCGCCTTGGGTGCAATCCCAAAACAACTTGAGCACCATTTGAACACCATTGGCATTGACAAATTCGCCATTAGTCAATTGCAAAAGGCGGCCTTACTAGGAACTGCTTCCATCCTGCGACGAGATCTGTAATACCATCAAACATCCACATCTGCCTATCCCAGGTCCTGGGTAAGGACTCGATAGGTAGACAAAAATGCCAAATCCAGTCTGAACATCTGGCTGACTGTGCGATGATCCATAATAATAATGATAATAGTTGGAAGGGACCTTGGAGGTCATCTAGTCTGACCCCCTGCTCAGGCAGGAAAACCTAGATCATTTCGGACAAGTGCCTGTCCAGTCTCTTCTTAAAAACGTCCAGTGTTGGAGAAGGGAGGGAGGAAGGAAGGAAGGAAAAGAATAAGAGAATAACAGACTCGGAAGGGACCTTGGAGGTCATCTAGTCCAACCCCCTGCCCAGGCAGGAAACTCTATACCATTTCAGACAAATGGCTGCCCAGTCTCTTCTTCAAAACTTCCAGTGTCAGAGCATTCACCGCTTCTGGAGGCAGGTTGTTCCACTGGTTAATTGTTCGAACTGTCAGGAAGTTTCTCCTTAGTTCTAGGTTGTTTCTCTCCTTGATTAGTTTCCATCCGTTGCTTCTTGTCCTGCCTTCGGGTGCTTTGGAGAATAGCTTGACTCCCTCTTCTTTGGGGCAGCCCCTGAGATATTGGAACATGGCTATCATATCCCCCCTCGTCCCTCTATTCATTAGACTAGGCCAGGGGTAGGCAACCTTGGCTCTTTTATGATTTCAACTCCCAGAATTCCTGAGCCAGCCATGCTGAGGAGAAAGCGAGAGGTTGCCATGCTGAGCCATGCTGGCTCAGGAATTCTGGGAGTTGAAGTCCATGAGGCATAAAAGAGCCAAGGTTGCCTACCCCTGGTCTAGACATCCCCAATTCCAGCAACCGTTCCTTATATGTTTTAGCCTCCAGCCCCCTGATCATCTTTGTTGCTCTTCTCTGCACTCTTTCTAGAGTCTCAACATCTTTTTTTACATCGTGGTGACCAAAACTGGACGCCGTATTCCAAGTGTGGCTTTACCAAGGCCTTGTAAAGTGGTATTAACACTTCACGTGATCCTGATTCTATCCCTCTGTTAATGCAGCCCAGAACTGTGTTGGGTTTTTTGGCAGCTGCAGCACACGGCTGGCTCCTATTTAAGTGATTGTCCACTAGGACTCCGAGATCCCTCTCATAGTTACTACTATTGAGCAAATAATACTGGTGGAGGATGAAAGGGTTTATGTTCTTTGCAGTCATGCAGTCGTTAGTACTCTCCCTGAGAGTCATTAATTTCTTCAGGGTCATCTGAAGGGTGCAAATGGATGTGGAACTTTTTTTGGAGCTGCTGAACGGACCGTGTGGTAAACAGGAGAGAGGTGGTGTCGTATCCCTCCCCCTCTGTTGAGAGAGGACTCTTCTGTCTTAATGTAGATGGCCTCTTTGACTCCTCTTTCCAACCCCTTCCTCAACCGAGGGGGGGGTTACAACACCCCATCTCCTGTTTAAACAGAGTCCTTTCGGCAGTTCCAAGAAGGCTCCACACCCAAATATTTGCGCTCTGATTCAGGTGATCCTGAGGGCAGAGATAAACCTCCAAGTGGCCTCAATGACTCTCAGAGGGAGTACTAACGACCAGGTGACTGCAAAAGAATACAGGTAGTCCAAAAAGCTTCTTCAGTTCTGACTGAATGGTGGAGAATGGAAGGATTTATGTTCCTTTACAGTCACCTGGTCATTAGTACTCTCACTGAGAGCCGTTGAAGCCACTTGGAGGCTTATCTGTGCCCTCAGGGTCACCTGAATCAGAGTGCAAATGGGTGTAAAACCTTCTGGGAACTGCTGAAAGGACCGTGTGGTAAACAGGAGAGAGGTGGCGTTGTAACCCCCCCCCCCTCAGTTGAGAGAGGGGTTCAAAAGAGGAGTCACCTACATTAAGACGAACAGTCCTCTCTCAACAGAGGGGGAGGGATGCGACACCACCTCTCTCCTGTTTACAACACGGTCCTTTCAGCAGTTTCAAATAAAGTTCCACACCCATTTGCACCCTTCAGATGACCCTGAGGGCTCAGATAAACCTCCAAGTGGCCTCAACAACTCTCAGAGGGAGTACTAACGACCAGGTGACCGCAAAGGAATATCAACCGTTCCATCCTCCGCCATTCGGTCTGAATTGAAGAAGCCTCTTGGATCGAGAAGCGAAATTCCTTCCAGGAAAAACAAAGGAAGTCCAGTTGCCTTTTGGGAGAAAAAAAAAGCACTTTTGGGACAACCAACAACCCTGGATGAATCTCCACAAACCGGTAGATCAGCCCCCGACAGAGGGAAAGAGCGACCCCGAGCGCGTGCAGAAAGTGCAAAGGGCGCCCGATGTCTCCCTCCAAGCCGCAGACGAGAACGAAAATTAAAAAATAAAAACAGAGTTTGCAGCTTCAGAATACAGACCGGCCGTCCTCAAACTTATAACGATTTCTTTCAGGACAGTTTGAAGTCATGGCGTGTGACCGTTTTCAACAGTTACAGCCGTCAGGATCACGTGATCAAAATCCGGATGCCCGGCCACGGGCTCGTATTTACGACGGTCGCCGTGTTCCCCCCCCGGGTCACCTGATCCCCTTTGCGACCTTCCGGCCGGTTACGGCAACGGGGAAAGCCAGATTCGCTTAGCGACCAGGTTCTACTAACATTAACGGAGTGACTCACTTCACAACGGAGGCAAGGAAGGTCGTAAAATGGGGAAAAACTGATGCAACAAAGGCCTCACTTAGCTACAGAAACCTTGGGTTCAGTTTTGGTCGTAAGTTGAGGACCACCTGTAAAATGCTTGGCCCCGACCAGTTTCAAGGAGGGTTTTTTTGAGAGGGAGGCAGAAAAGTCAAAATGGCCGCCGAGGCCACGCCGTCAAAGACCCCCCTCCTTTGAGCATTCCAAAGAGGCAATGGGGCAATTCTGCAAGCAGCTGGGACCCCCCGGGTCTGCCCCCCCTCTTCCAATGCAGAAACAGGCACCCCCCACTTCAACTTCAGCTCCTCCGCCCCACATACACACACGCTCACCAGCATGTGCTCGGCCAGCCAGCCTTCGTCCTTGGCGATGGAAGAAGCGATCCGGAGGGCGAAGCACTTTTTGCCCAGCAGGGAGTTGCCCCCGTAGCCGCTCCCGAAAGAGACGATCTCCCGGCGATTCGGCACGTGGGCGATTAAGGTCTTCTCTGGATTGCAAGGCCAGTTGTTCACGAGGTCTTCTGCAGAAGAATAGAGTAGAGTAGAGTAGAGTAGAGTAGAGTAGAGTAGAGTAGAGTAGAGTAGAGTAGAGTAGAGTAGAGTAGAGTAGAGTAGAGTAGAGTAGAGTAGAGTAGAACAGAATAGAATAATAAAAATAGAATAGAATAGACTAATAAAAATAATAGAATAGAATAGAATAGAATAGAATAGAATAGAATAGAATAGAATAGAATAGAATAGAATAGAATAGAATGGAATGGAATGGAATGGGATGGGATGGGATGGGATGGGATGGGATAGAATAGAATAGAATAGAATTATGGGATAGAAATTAGAATAGAATAGAATAGAATAGAATAGAATAGAATAGAATAGAATTATGGGATAGAAATAGAATAGAATAGAATAGAATAGAATAGAATAGAATAGAATAGAATAGAATAGAATAGAATAGAATAGAATNGGATGGGATGGGATGGGATGGGATGGGATAGGATAGGATAGGATAGGATAGGATAGGATAGGATAGGATAGAATAGAATAGAATAGAATTATGGGATAGAAATAGAATAGAATAGAATAGAATAGAATAGAATAGAATAGAATAGAATAGAATAGAATTATGGGATAGAAATAGAATAGAATAGAATAGAATAGAATAGAATAGAATAGAATAGAATGGAATGGAATGGAATGGAATGGAATGGAATGGAACAGGATGGGATGGGATGGGATGGGATGGGATGGGATAGGATGGGATAGGATGGGATAGGATAGAATAGAATAGAATAGAATAGAATAGAATAGAATAGAATAGAATAGAATAGAATTATGGGATAGAAATAGAATAGAATAGAATAGAATAGAATAGAATAGAATAATGGGATAGAATTATGGAATAGAATAGAATAGAATAGAATAGAATAGAATAGAATAGAATAGAATAGAATAGAATAGAAAGGGACCTTGGAGGTCTTCTAGTCCAGCCCTCTGCCCAAGCAGGAGGACCTATATACCATCTCAGACAGGTGACTGTCCAGTCTCTTCTTTAAAACCTCCACTTATGGAGCACCCAAGAAGACACGTTAGGGCCCGCACATCAGGATTTAACTCAAAAGGTCTTCTAGGATGTTTGAATCCCCCAGCACACTGGGGATTCCAACATGTGCCTGGGCCTAGAAATAGGGAACTCTGGGAACTGAAGTCCCAAACCTCTGGAATAATGGCCTCCAGCTTTGCACATCTGGAAAATATGGGTATCCATAGCCACAATTCCCAGTAAGCTAGTTCAGGAATTATCTACCCCAGTGTTTCTCAACCTTAGCAAATCTTCAACTCCCAGAATTCTCCTGCCAGCATGATTTAAGATACATGGACTTCAACTCCCAGAATTCCCCACCCAGCCTGCTTTAACATGCATGGACTTCAACTCCCAGAATTCTCCATCCAGAATGCTTTAAAATGGGTGGACTTCAACTCCCAGAATTCTCAGCCAGCATGCTTTAAGATGCGTGGACTTCAACTCCCAGAATTCTCCATCCAGAATGCTTTAAGATGGGTGGACTTCAACTCCCAGAATTCCCCAGCCAGCCTGCTTTAAGACGCTGGCTGAGGAATTCTGGGAGTCAAAGTCCACGCGTCTTAAACTGGAGAAAGCCGAGAAACAGTGTCCGTTCTGAGGGTGCCAAATCAGACAAAATTGTTATTCTTTTTTTCTCTTTTTTTTCACGCCTCCTCTTTGCTAGCCTCGTTGCGCACCCGTGCACCCGCTTTGTGCGCCGCGTCTTCACACACGTCGCACGAACGGAGAGACCCCCGAGAAAGAGGGGCTTACCGCTAAGGGGCAGGGGCCGTCCCACCGAATGCAGGCACTTGACGAACTCGCCGTCCCCCAGCGTGCGGAGGGCCGCGGCGCCCATCCGCGTCATGATGCGCATGCTGGCGACCACGTAGGCCGAATCCGTCAGCTGGATCCCGATTTTGGAGAGCGGGGAGCCGAGCGGCCCCATGCTGTAGGGGATGACGTACATGGTGCGCCCTGTGGAGAGGCGACAGAATCGGGAGAGGAAGAGGAGTTGAGATAAGGACGAAAGAATAAACGAAGAATAAAAATCTGCTGGCCTGGGGGTGTTTCAGCGTCTCTTTTGATTAAACACAAGTTGGTCCTCGCTTTACGGCCACAATTTCGCTCAACATTTCCACTGCTCTTCAATTCCCAGAATTCCTTTCTTCTTCCTCCTCCTCTTCCCTCCCTTCCTAACTTCCCCTCCTCCTCTTTCTCCTCTCCCCCATTCTCCACACTCTTCCTCCTCCTCTTCCCTCCCTCCCTCTCTAACTCCCCCTCCTCCTCTTCCTCCTCTCCCCCATTCTTCATACTCTCTTCCTCCTCCTCCTCCTCCTTCTCTTCCCTAACTCTCCCTCCCCCTCCTCCTCCCCCCTCCTCCTCCCAGAATTCCATCTCCCAGGATTCCACGGCTGGCTGGAGAATTCTGGGAGTTGCAGTCCCCCCATCTTAAACTCGCGGCGTTTGAAAAACACAGCTCCAAAGGGCATCAGCAAATCAATCGAATTAAGAAATCACAAATAAGGAAAGGATAGATAAATCAATTCCGTTCTCTCCAGGGGAGAAAGTCGGGAAGAGGCATTCGAATGTGGCCCGGATCCAGTTGATCCATCAGGGAAATGGCTGGACAGGAATTGCCCCCGGGGTTCAATCCCCCCCCCATGTTGATCCGTGGCTCGGCCTCCAAACCGGAGCCCAGTTTGTAACTCGTATATTTTTTTTTTTTAAAAGGAACTTTGTTGGGAAAACACACACACACACACACACACACGTCCCATTCACCTTTCATGCAACCAGGAAACCGATCAGCCACCGCCTCTTGAAAGGTTTGGGGGTTCATCCAGTTGCCCAGCTGCCCTTTGACCCCCGGGGCCGTGACGGGGATCGTGTCCCTCTGGTTCTCCGTAACGATGACCGTCCGGCTCTCCACCCTGGCAACATCCTTGGGGTCGGTTTTTGCCAGCCAGCTGCGGGAGGAAAAGGAAGGATTTCCGAATTTTGGGGGGGGGGATTTTGGCTGTCGGCGAGCCGGACTCCAATACCCGTACTCCCCGGGGAGGATGGGAACTGGCACACTCCCCACGCCCCAAGAGAGACGGGAGAGGCGGCTTACCAGTTCTCGTATTTGGTCAGCGGCTTGATGACGCCTTCGGATTCGAGGAAATTCAGGATTTTGCTGTTCTCCTTCTCCGTCCCGTCGCAAATGTGAAGGCTGTCCGGCTGGCAGAGTCGCACCCCTTGCTCGACAAACTCTTGGGCCCGGCCGGAGAGTTTGGCCAAGTCTCCGTGGAGCACGCGGGGAGCGTGGGCCCAACGCACCGGCACGGCAGACCATCTCCTCAACGAGAAGGCTCCTCGGCTGGAAAGAGGAAAAAGGGTGAGAAGAAGGAAAGAGGGTTAAAAGAAGGAAAAGAGGAAAGAGGGTGTAATAATAATAATAATAATAATAATAATAATAATAATAATAATAATAGTAATAATACTAATTATAATAGTAAAGTTGGAAGGGACCTTGGAGGTCATCTAGTCCAACCCCCTGCTCAGGCAGGAAACCCTACACCATTTCGGACAAATGGCTGTCCAGTCTCTTCTTAAAAACTTCCAGTGTTGAAGAAGGAAGGAAGGAAGGAAAAAAAAGAATAACGGAGTTGGAAGGGACCTTGGAGGTCATCTAGTCCAACCCCCTGCTCAGGCAGGAAACCCTACACCATTTCGGACAAATGGCCGTCCAGTCTCTTCTTAAAAACCTCCAGTGTTGGAGCCTTCACAACTTCTGGAGGCAGGTAGTTCCACTGGTTAATTGTTCTCACCATCAGGAAGTTTCTCCTTAGTTCTAGGTTGCTTCTCTCCTTGATGAGTTTCCATCCGTTGCTTCTTGTCCTGCCTTCAGGGGCTTTGGAGAATAGCTTGACTCCCTCTTCTTTGGGGCAGCCCCTGAGATACTGGAAGACTGCTATCATGTCCCCCTTCGTCCTTCTCTTCGTTAAACTAGATATACCGAATTCCAGCAACCGTTCCTTTTATGTTTTAGCCTCCAGTCCCCTAATCATCTTTGTTGCTCTTCTCTGCACTCTTTCTAGAGTCTCAACGTCTTTTTTACATCGTGGTGACCAAAACTGGATGCAGTATTCCAAGTGTGGCCTTACCAAGGCCTTGTAAAGTGGTATTAACACTTCAGGTGATCTTGATTCTATCCCTCTGTTGATGCAGCCTAGCACTGTGTTGCCCTTTTTGGCAGCTGCAGCACACGGCCGGCTCCTATTTAGGTGATGGTCCACTAGGACGCCGAAATCCCTCTCACAGTTACTACTATTGAGCAAGGTACCCCCTATACTATACCTGTACATTTGGTTTTTCTTGCCTAAATGTAGAACCTTACTTTTTTTACCATTGAATTTCATTTTGTTAGATAGGGCCCTGGGTTCAAGTCTGTCCAGATCCTCCTGTATCCTAAGCCTGTAACTTCTGGAGTGTTGGCTATTCCTGCCAGCTTGGTGTCATCTGCAAATTTGATGAGTTCCCCATCTATCCCCTCGTCCAAATCGTTGATGAAGATGTTGAAGAGCACTGGGCCCAGAACAGAGCCCTGGGGCACCCCTCCACACACTTCCCTCCATGTAGATGCGGTTCCGTTGAGGACCGCACGCTGAGTACGGCCGGTCAGGTGAAAATAAGGAAAGAGGAAAGAGGGTGAAAAGAAGGAAGGAGGGTTAGAAGAAGGAAAGAGGAAAGAAGGTTAGAAGGAGCCAGAAACCACCATTACCATCCTTCCCCCCCCCCCCACAATACAGGTAGTCCTTGACTTACAACATTCCATTGAGTGACTGAAAAAAGGGACTGAGGGCCATTTTTCACGCTTACGACCGTTTGCAGCAACCCCCTGGTCACGTGATCAAAATTTGGACGCTTGGCAACTGACTCCTATTTATGACGGCTGACTGTCCCGGGGTCCCGCGATCCCCTTTTGCGACTGTCCAACAAGCGAAGTCAAGGGGGGGGGGAGAAGCCAGTTTCACTTAACAACCATGTCACTAGCTTAACAATTGCAGCGATTCCTTTAACAACTGCGTCCAGAAAGGTGGTAAAATGAAGGCAAAATTCACTTAACGCATGTCTCACTTAGCAACAGAAAGTTTGGGGCATCACAGAAGTGGTGAATGCTCCAATACTGGAGGGTTTCCTGCCTGAGCAGGGGGTTGGACTAGATGACCTCCAGGGTCCCTTCCAACATCATCATCATCATCATCATCATCATCATCATCATCATCATCATCATCATCATTATTATTATTATTGTGGTCCTGCCGGCCGTGGAGTTGTTGAACCGAACAACCGCAGCGCGCTCCACTCTCAAAATCCCTGAGCCTCTTCGGCGAGAGTTGTGTCTTAATCTTGCCCAACTTTGCACCGGCTCGGAAAACCAGGGTGTGAACTTTGTGCGCGCTCAAGAGAGTGAAGCAACCTCACTTGAAAGAGTTTTGTGTGTGTGTACAAACCCAGCCCGGAGGCTGCAAATGGACACGTAGAAAGGAAGATTAAAAAAAAAAAAACTCGGCAGGCTTAGATAAACAGCCTTCGATTTAAATTTAAATCCAATTTAAGTAAACCGATCCGGTTGGACCAAGGAGAGGCAGCGAACGTCAGCGCAAGAGATAGTCAGCGCGCGAGAGAGAGAGAGATTTGCAAATATGCAATTTAGAAATCATTTTACTTTGTGCGTGTTCCTCTCACTCCACGTACACACAAGAGTATGTACAGTCTCCTTATAGTCTAATTCTGTGGTTTTTCCGTCAGAAAAAACACACGATTGCAGGGTTTGGCAACTTTAAGAGGGGCAGACTTCAACTCCCAGAATTCCCCAGCCAGCCAAGCTGGCTGGGGAATTCTGGGAATTGAAGTCCGCCTATCTTAAAGGGGCCAAGGTTGGAAAAAAAAACACCGCATTATTGTGTTCACGAAGGTCCAGTTTTGCAACACCCTTAAAAGCACCAGAGGGCAGGACAAGAAGCAACGGATGGAAACTAATCAAGGAGAGAAGCAACCTGGAATTAAGGAGAAACTTCCTAACGGGCGAGGACAATTAACCAGTGGAACAGCTGGCCACCAGAAGTCGGGGGTGCTCCATCACTGGAGGGTTTTAAAAAAAGAGACTGGACATTCATTTGTCTGAAATGGCCTACGGTCTCCTGCTTGAGCAGGGGGTTGGACTAGAAGACCTCCACGGTCCCCTTCCAGCTCTATTCTGATTTGTCACCTGCCAGAAGCCCGATTCAGCGTTACTGCATTCTGTACATGCTCTATAAATGCACGGGCGTGTTTCAGCTTGGCCCACGTAGTTTTGACCTACGGGCCCCATCCTGAGCAAGCTGAAATGCAAGGTGGGGGGGGGGGAACCCTGAGAAAACTGGAGGTTGGCAATAGTTAAAAAGTGTCTCCCTAATTAAATACACACAACACCAGATTTAATCTGTCTTTGGGGAGGCTTTGAAGAACAGGGGCAAAGTTTGCGATAAGACTTTGGCAGAGTTTCCCACAGTGCACAATTCTCACAACGGGGTGGGGGGGGGAAGGGAAGGGGTAGGAATCCCTAGCAGCACCCTTTGCTCATGGGGAAGTTTTCACACGGGCCTCGTGGAGGGTGTCAACATCGGTATATTTTCTCCCCCCAAAAATGTTATCTCGGATTATTATTATTTTTTTCAGAAGAACGGAACGAGCTGCACAAATTGCACACACAAATTGCACACACCAGTACGAACACGCAGCGGCAAACTTGCCACGCTGGCAGGCCCGTTCCCAAGAGGGCGTGCAGTTCCCACGCCCGCTGCTCAAGGCTGCCCACGGATCCGGGGTGCTTTTGCAAGTCGTCCTCAACTTACGACGGCAAAAAATTCAGCCCCAAAATGTGGCCGCTAAGGGAGGCTTTTGTTAACTGAGTCTCGACGCATAGCAGTTGACTGGCTGCAATTGTTCACTTAGTAACCTGGTTGTTAAGCGAATCCGGTTTTCACCAGGGCATTTTGTCCCACTTTACAACCGTTCTCACCCCCGTCGCTAAGTGAGTAAGCGCCGTTGTTAAGAGAGCCACACGGCCGTTAAGCGAATCCGGCTTCTCCCGTTGACTTTATTTGTCACAAGGTCGCAAGGTGACTCCGGGACGCTGCAACCGTCGTAAATACAAATCCGTTGCCGAGCGTCTGAATTTTGATCAATCTGTCCACGGGGATACTGCGACGGTCGTTAAGTGTGAAAAAACGATCGTCGTAGGTCACTTTTTTCAGTGCCGTCGTAACTTTGAACTGTCACTAACTGCTGTAAGTTGAGGACTCCCTGTATTTTTAATTTTAATTTTTAATCTTGTTTTTGGGGGCCCAGCTCTAGAGGAAATCCGGACCCTTTTTTGCCGCTCAATTGCACTCCAGAAAGTCCTCCACTTACAACAGCTCCCTTTAACGACCGTTCAAAGCTACAACGGCACCGGGACCCTTTTTTCACCCTCACGACCGCCGCAGCCTCACCCTGGGCCCGCGATCCAAAATTCAGACGCTGGGGCAACCGACTCGTGTTTACGACGGTCGCAGCCTCCCCGGGACTCACGTGATTTCCCTTTTGCGACTTTCCGACGGGCAAAGTCAGAAATGTCGGGCTCCGTTGTGGCTGTAATTCGAGGACTCGCAGGCTGTATAGGGCACGCCGAGCCGTGACGCTCGTTTCCTGCCCTCCAGGATCTTCGGAGGGGGGGGAAATCCATGCCACGGATCTGCTGAGACCGGTCGTGCCCGCAACCACTACTTGCACGCCGGATCCTGGTTTAGCAGGGAGCTGTCGTCGTCGTCGTCCTTCCTCCCTCTCCCATTGGCTGCCTGCCCGGGAGAGAACCGGGTTTGGCCAGGCACCAAGAAACCAAGTTAAGAGCAAGGGGCAAACGCGTCGGGTGGACTTTCACCCCAAGCAAACAGCTCCTCTGCAAACGAGACCGTGCTCCACGGCAACCGGGGCTGATTCCTGAGATCCAGGAACATGTTGTTCCCGGTTTAACCAGAATTCCCGTGCACCCCCCCACTTCGTGAATTAAAAGGAAGCTGGCATCCCGCCACGCTTTGCAATTACACACAACGCTTCGGGGCAGAGGGGATCCGTGCTGCTGGCGTCTTCCTTCGCAGGCCGCCGCCGTTGTTTGATTTTTTTCCGCAGGAGGATACCTGCCGTCCTCAGGTTACGACCGCAACGGAGCCTCAGGTTTACGTGGCTAAGCGAGAAATGGATGCATGGAGTTTTGGGCCCGTTTGACTATCCTCTTTTCTGCGTCCTT